ATCATGTAAATGACTAATTTGTAAACAGGATGCCAATTAAAAATAACTATCGACTTGTTTCTATAATTATTTTTCTGCATCATTTAAATAGATATGAAATGAGATAGTAGCAAAAAAATAGTTTCTATATAATTTCTCTAGATCTATTTAATTTCCAGCGGTCGGGCAACTTTTTAAATCTTTAACCCAAAATATATAAGTTGATATTACCCCATAGAAAAAAACTAAAAAACGCATGTTTTAACATCTTTCATTTTATAAACCCTCCCCCTCCATGATCATTTCGAAAAGAAAACAATAACTAAAAATTTCATTTAAAGAAAATTAGTTTAAATTTTACTGAAACTGACTTAGTGTAAAAGCTACTGAGTAGCAAATACAGTAAATATCCATTAAAAATATATACTTTACATTTCATTTTTACTTTTTATTCTCATTGAAACTAATTAGACAAGTGACAAAAATTACAATATTTTAAGTGTGAATAAGGCAATATTAGAACAAAAAGTTTAACTTACTATAAAAAAAATTTCAAAAGAAAGTTCTTTGCATTTTAATTTTGAAATATTATCTCAAGATATATATCACAATATAGCTATTAGGAAAATAGTTTTAATTAGCTAAAAAAATGTGTTTGAATAAGTTTCTGCTTTATAAAAAAAAGGCTTTCCTAACAAACTCTGTGATGAGCAAAGTCGTTTACAATACCGCCAATGTTACAAAAATAACGCTCTTCGATTTCGCAACGCGAGCTGCCAAAAGATCATGGAACGAACATTTCTCTTGCCAATCTATGAATGTTTTGAGTTTAAACTAATTATAATTATAATTTAAATCAATTTTGGACACCTTTATATACTTAAAAAAAAAGCTATAGTTAATCAAGAACGAAAATACAAATGGAAAACATTATTACTTGTTTATATAAACAAAAATTAAAAATTATTACTAATTTCACAAATTAATTTTTGAAATTAGTAATAATTTTTTATTTTTACTAATTTATGATTTTCAACGTATTCTAAAAATTACCAAATAAATTCTAGAGCAACATAATGTAATTCCACATCCAATTTGTATTTAATAAATTAATTTTCACTTACAAAAGTAAAGATTCTGATAAGTGTTACGTTTCAAATATGAATATGATTTTTCCATACAATAATAAAATAAATTAACCAAATTACGAAAAACTTTCTGCAAGAAAAGGTTGATAATATATCAGTCTATATTACTATATTTATATAATTCAAATTCACGGCGATGATTCAATTTGTGAGAATTTTGTCTAATATTTCAAGTTTAGGTACATTTATTCAAAACTAAAATGAAATAAACAAAAGTGGCCTAATTTTAGTTTATATTTATAATTCATTATTAATAAAAAATCAATTCTGAAAGCCATAATTTTTATCTGTTTTGAATCTGCCAAAACTAATTAAAATTCGATAACGAACGAAATCATAAAATTGGCTTAAAAATACTGTAAACACTTCTAATGTTGCCAAGACTCTATAAAACGTCGAGACTTTCTAATTAAAAATAATTCAAATTTATTTAAAGAATAGCTTCAACGGATGTTATCCGGCAAAATAAAAAATACTGATGAAATAATTTTAGTGCTAGATGCAATAATATTCACAACTATGCATTATTCAATGAACGTTGACGAATAATGACTATTTTATAGCTATTTGTAATATTTACTGAACCGTAACATAAAATCTAAATTTATTTTATATTACTGTAATGGAAACGTGCCAAAAGAAATTTAAATTCAGAAGGTTATAAAATAAGTTAAAGATTTATAATTGCATATAAAAAGCACAAGCTAAAAGGTATAAAACATTTAAATTACTTTAAAGCTTTATGTAAATCCGATTTGTTGTTGGGTCTGAACTTTTCAACATTTATAATTTTAATAGATCCTAAATTTATTGACGTCAAATTTAATTTAAATAAATTAATTAAATGGTATTATATAATTACATTATTATATTGCACATTACAATAAGTCCTGTATTTATTAGTAGACATGTCTAAAACGATTAGAAGATTTTTTAAATTCTGTATTTTTGAAAATCTCTATTAATAAATGTAATGCGTACTTTGAATAAGCAACTCATATTACTTCGTATGTTTCAATATATTTTGTAGTAACTAATATTTGGTCAATGTAAATATATTTTTGTATATTGTAATAAATATATTGTTAATTGAACATCCGATTAATGGACATCTAATTTAGATTCAGAAACTTTCTCATTATAATATTCTTAATTTCATAATTCTTAATAATATTTTTCTTTTCCTATAATGCAGTATAACCATAATTGATTTTGATTCAGGTTTCACCGTTTGAAATAATATTTGTCAATAATTTTAATATAAAAAAGAAAAAAATCGGTCAAAAAGTTAATATAATAAACATGGTTGTATATACCAACTAATGAAAGCTTCAAAATATGTTTTTAGCATTTTAAACTCATGAAAAAGTGACAAATATCTAACGATTGATTTCTTACGTCAATTTACGGCGCCATCGTTAACCGAGATTTTATTTAGAAACCAAAATATCGTTTTGGTGATGTCAGTCAACACAAACTAGTAATTTCATTCATAGTAAATAGAGCAAGGTCTTGCGATCCTTTAAATAAACATTATATATATATATATATATATATATATATAAACACAAGCAATTTACTTCTAACGATTTAACATTATCTAAGTCATTAATTGTTAAATAAGTAAAACATGGCCAATATTTTAGTATTAAATTCTAAATCTATATATATAAAGATCGAATGGCACCGGTTTCTGCTGATTTGGTGAAGATATTCAACAACCTCCTTAAGTAACAATTAAAAATTATTTTTGAACTATTTTAAAAATTATAAAAATATTATCCACCTTGCTAGCAAACGCTGGTGTCACGTGACCTTCAGGTTGAAATTTTTTTGTCATTCAAGTTTCCCAGCATATGCAATTTTAAAAGTTTGTTTAAGAAATTTATCCCAGAAAAATGTTTTTAATTTCAACAAATAAGTTTTTTGGACAATTAACTAAAGAAATTTAAAATAAATCAAAACATGAAAATAATATGAGAAACAAATATAAATTGAAGATGCGTTTGCATTCAAATCTTATTGTATAGAAGTTTGAGCTTTGGATCATTTGAATTAAACTTTAAACAAATACTGTTTGGAATTTCAAGCAGAATAATTAACAACTCAATTGTGTAATATAAAAAGCAAATTCCTCATGGTTCTCAACTTGTTTCAAATAAATTTTGACAAACAGGTGCCAAAGAAAACAAGAACTAATAGTCCATGTCACAAAGAAAAACATGCGTGTACCAGATTTTAGAAACTTCAGAATTACTTAGTATTATCAAGTTTATCACTTGTAATTGTCAAAGTGCCAAGCTTTTGTAGCTGTACCAATGGAACGATTTATTGTTTGGTGAACTCGACGGTGATATTATTTAGATTAACAAATATTTACTGCGTCTGGTCTAAGATTCTCAAATGAAAATTTCAGGATATATTTTTTTTTAAAATCGCACTACCAACCATAATAAAAAAGATATTTGACACCAGTTTTATATGTTAAAACAGGCATCAAAATTTATAACCCTGGTGTGGAAAAACAAATATGCTAAATTCATTTGCACAAATAAAAATATATATGATTAACTGCATTACATTTTACTCTAATTATTCGCGTATAATAATTTTTTGAAACATTTGACTTTTACTAAATAAAGGCAACAGCCCCTGCAATACAAGCCAACACGTATATGTACAAAAAATGTTCGATAAAATCCAATTTATTATAGTAATAAAGTGAAATTGTAATGTTAATTTCAATCCTCCATTAAATTATATTGTTTTAAAATAAAATGATTATTTGTATACAAAACTGATTGATATTTATATACTTAATCGGTATTGGATAAAATAAGTATGAGTAACAAAATTTAAAGTATTATTATTAAGATAGATACTTAATCAGTATTGGATAAAAGAAGTATGAGTAACAAAATTTAAAATATTATTATTAAAATATTTTTAAAATATAAACGCACGTCATAAAAAATCCAATTGACACAGATTATGTTCAGAATCTTTGTCAAAATCCAAAATAAAATTTTATTCATTAAGGTGTAAAATCAATGCAAAAAGATAGTCAAGAAATTTTCAAAACTACATATTTACAATAACTTCGTAAAAAATACGAATGTGTAATTACTTGCAATACAAAGTAGTTACTTTCAAAAGTAACATATATATATATATATATATATATATATATATATATATATAATAAACTAATTACCAACAAATCAAAAGATTTTATTATCATATCGAATTATGTAACAAAATCTGCTAGTTATATTTGGCAAGTATTCATGGCTTGCCAAAATATACCAAAAGATATTTTCTATAAAGTTCATGAAGGCTATGAGAGATAGCATTAGCCTTTACATGCATATTTTAACTACAGCAAAATATATTTATGAGATCAATATTAGGATTTTTTCATATAAATGGCCACTGATAATAAATAGAATTAGATTTAGAAAAACGAGTAAACTATGTAAAAGTACTTTTGATCGTAATTGATATTGCCAGGTATTTTAAACGTCTTTTGACAAAGTTTAAAATTAGGTATAATATAATAATTATAGTATAAAATTTTCAGTTGGAGTTTCAATATAAAATCAAAACATAAGTTATATTTACTATTAAAATACTCAACGCAAGAAATGTAACCTATGGTAATAAATGCAAAAGCTTTTGAATCTTTGTAAACGTTAAGTTGAGCTTAAGATGTTATCACGTCAAAACTATCAATTACCATTTCGATTAAAATTTTATCACAATACGTTAATGTTGCATTTTACCACAGTATCACTTATCAATGTCCAAATATAGCCATGAACGTAAAAAGCAAAAACCAATATTATTTTCTTCCAAAAAAATAACACATCTTACCGTTACGGAGTATGAAGACAAAGCCGGACGACTGTAGGGCCGACGGGTCGTGTAAAAGTCACTTTCGTAAACCATTTTTATTTAATGAAATCTCCTTTTCGAATAAATTAATAAATTTCAAAATACTTCAACAATATTTTACACTCCGTACACTATGATAGGAGATTTCGGTTGTGTTTATATGTCGACGGTCTGTGATGTTCTGAGGTGACTGGATTTTCTCAAAACGGATGCGCGGTTTTTCTTTCTCGGACGCCAAACGACGACAGTGTGGGGGAGGTTGGCCAGTTGGGAAACGTAGCACACGTGCACATTTGGCGGGCCAGGGGCCAAATTTTAATTTTATATCGGGGATTATAGTCATAGTAAAAGGTAATTAAAAGTACTAAAGTTCACACAATAAATAATAACTGCATAATCTATAATTAATTAAATATTAATATATTAACATGCATTGAGACCAATTGAAGGTGAGGTCTCAATTTTTAAGATTTCGAATCATTTATTATCAGAAAAAAAGTTGAAGTATATTATATATTCGAATATTAACTTCCAGAATATTTATTATACGTTTTTAACTGTAAAAGCAAGTTATATATCGTTAATTGTTTGTATATTAGCAATTCAAACTAAAAATTTTATACTATAGTACTAATTTCGCCAATCAAAGATATAACTAGTTATTATTGGAATTTTGCCTTGAGGCAAGTTACATGAACTTTCCGATATGTGTAAATAATCGACCTAATCAATAATAAATAAATTAATTTATGAGTGATTAAAAGTATTCCGAGTGGATTTATTATTACACATAATTACACATAAACGAACGATTCGGAGTATTTTCTAAACGCAAATTTTCAAAAATCAATAATTTTTATAATTGAATCAGTTTCCGTAGGACTTTAATGGATTAGTATGTTCATTAAGACCAAGTACTCTATCGTTATACCAAGAAAATCGTCTAATTTCAATTTTAACAAACGTCAAAAAAAACTACTCATTTTCTCAAACTTTGATGATTTTTTAAAATTAAACTACTTGCCGTAAGGCCGTAATATTTCAGTAAGTTCTATAAGACCATGATATATATCGCCAAAAAAAGTTCCATAAAAATCGGCTAAATTTTAGTTAATTTCAAGAAAACGGCTCGGTAAATTTTCACCTAAAACTAATCAGTATCATTCCAAATTAATATATTTCGAACAGTTTTTGATTTTTCAAAGTCGATTCGGTAGACTGAGCTTAAATGTGGACGAAAAGTTTAATACTTTTTTCCAAATTACAAGAAACGGCTCGGCAGAACTGAGAAACAATAATCCTCATCGAGATACATCGTGTATTCGTGTATTTAAAATGACTTTTAAATTTATGAAATAGATTGAGTCGTTTTTGAGCAAACGTCGATTTACGGCAAAAAATCTGTTCACACACACGCACACACACATACTTTTTCCAAATTTGGTCTCATTCGATTCAGAATGGCTTGAAACGTCGAGAAAACTAAAATTAGCGAATCGGATTTTTTGATGAAAACATAAACTTCTCCTTCGGGAAGTTTAATATAAAAATTATACCAAATGCAAAGAGTAGATAATAAAAGCCAAGACAAAAAATTAAAGGATTGACTTACCACTATTTTTCTGGTAATTAAAATGGCTCCTTCCGCATGGTCTTAATTAGATAATCTATCCTGCACAGTAAGAAAGCTAGAATTATTATTTAAATTAAATTTGATAAGAAAACTAGACATAGTAAGAAACATCTTGGAACTTATAATAATATTATTATAATAATAGTATTTTAATTTACTTCAAAATGAAAACAAATATGCTACAATATTTAATTATCGGTTGAAAGAAAAAAACATTCAGGTAATATAAAGCTTAAAAGTAAAACAATTGTGTAATGAACTAATAATTAAAACTAGTGGTGTATGGCATCGTGCCTTAAGGCAAATTGCTAAAACTTCCCGTACCGTAATGAAATATTCGAGAAATTTTAAACGTTTTCCAATATATTATTACAAATACTGTAACTTTTATAATTTTTGCTATCTTGTTATATCTGAGCAAATCAAATGTAAATCTTAAATCAATTTATCTCCAGAACATTAACAATCGTCATTTCATTTCGAATTCAATTTAAAAAAAAAGTTGCCCGCATTTGCAAATAATTCTGTGCGACATTTTCACTTAGACTGTGCAATAATTCCCAATGCCATGCATCACAATTTTATAAAAGCTTTTCGCACGTCTCTTATAAAAAAAGATAAAACCTTAATAAACCAACTAGTTGGTTTGGTATTTAGCCTTGAGGCAAGTTACATGAACTTCCCGAAATGTGTAAATAATCGACTTAATCAAAAAAAAATGTGTAAATAATATACTTCATTAATCCTACTTTAAAAAAAAACGATAATAATTTTAGCAAACTTTGACGAATTTTTAAAATTAAACTACTTGTCGTTAGGCCGTAATATTACAGTAAGTTCTATAAGACCATGATGTATATCGCCAAAAAAAATTCCATGAAAATCGGCTTAAATTTTTTTTTCAACAGTTAATTACAAGAAAACGGCTCGGTAGATTTTCACCTAAAATTAATCAGTACCATTCCCAACTAATATCTTTCGAACAGTTTTTGATATTTTAAAATCGGTTCGGTAGGATGAGCTTAAATGTCGACGAAAATTTAACACTTTTTTTCAACAGTTAATTACAAGAAAACGGCTCGGTAGATTTTCACCTAAAATTAATCAGTACCATTCCCAACTAATATCTTTCGAACAGTTTTTGATTTTTTAAAATCGTTCGGTAGGATGAGCTTAAATGTGGATGAAAAGTTTTTTTCAAATTACAAAGAAACGGCTTGGCAGATCGTTGCACAAAACTGACAAACGATAGTCCTCACCGAAATACATCAAATGGCTTTTAAATTTCTTAAATCGGTTCAGGCGTTTTTGAGAAAACGTCGATCAAAAGTCTAATTTTGACAAATGCCAAAAAGACCATACTGACTTTGACGAATTTTTAAAGCTGAACCAGTTGTCGTAGGGCCGTAATATTTTAGTATGATCTAGAAGACTATGGTATCTATCGTCAAAAAAATAATCATAAAAATCGTCGAATTTTTTTTTTTTAAAACTTTATTACAAGAAAACGGCCCGGCCGATCTCTACCAAAAACTAATCAGCACGATTCCCAACCAATATCTTTCGAACGGTTTTTGAATTTTCAAAATCGATTCAGAATTGCGGGCTAAAACGTAGACGAAAAATTTTTCACTTTTCTGCCATTTATGAAGAAACGGCTTGGCCGATCGTCGCACAAAACTGACAAACAATAGTTCTCGTTGAGATACATCGAATGGCTTTTAAATTTTTGAAATCGGTCCAGCCGTTTTCGAGAAAACGTCGATTTACGGCAAAAAATCTGTTCACATACACACACACACACACACACATACTTTTTCCAAATTTGGTCTCATTCGATTCAGAATGGCTTGAAACGTCGAGAAAACATAAAATTAGCGAATCGGGTTTTTTGATGAAAACATAAACTTCTCCTTCGGGAAGTTAAAAATCAACAACACTCCATAAATAATATTTTTACTTTATAATTCGAACAGAAGATATTCAAAGTACTTGAGTAAATAGTTTAGCAGAATAAATAAAAGAAATGATCTAAACTCAAATATTTTAGATGTGATTTAAGTTCATTTATTTTTAATTTATAGTAAAAGTATGGAAAAACTATTAAATAGATATATTGCAAGACCCAGTTGTAAATGGTTCACCATGGTTCGTTATCTCAATTGTTAACAACATTAATTATTATCTGCCGGATGTCACGAATTTCTTTGTAAATTCACTCGTAGGATAATAGAAAATAAGACATTGTTCTTGACATTGAATACTAATAAAACTTACATTATATGGTTTTAGTAACTTTCTTGCCAATAATACCAATCCAAAACATTGCAAGAAAATATACAATGGAGCGCAAAGTGTTTTCATTAATTTATAATTAGCGATTAGATAAATGTCAACATTATAATTTATTCTCATATTTTCAGTTTAAGGAAATAATATGTAGTAACAAAGTTAATTATTCGTACCCTATAAATCATAATTTTGCCAAAACCCAACTTACAGTACCGGTTGTTATGAACAAATAATTTAAAACATTTATAATAATTGTTAGACTTGAACATTGAAAAATTTGAATGTGGCTCAAAACATTATCATCCTGAGTGTCAATACGCAAGAAACTTACCAGATTTGTGTGTGCAGATTTTAGGGAGGGAGATGATCCAGAAGATGTAAGATGAAAAATAATCCTTTGCGTATGCAGCAAGGCAGGAAAGCGTGGGTCACAACAAAAACAATATTGTGTTGTTTTCAAATTACTAAACGATCTCTTGTTCATATAAATAATGAGAAAAAAATCTACAGGAATTATAATAAACTATTTGTAATTTATTTAACAAATCTGATTTTTGTAGGTTTTGTTTCAAACGACAAATAAACAAAACTTTTTGAAATATAAAGGTATTTTTTAATGAAACAAACGAAAACAAAGATTTTTCAAAAGAAAAAAAAAAGAATCAAGTGCAGCATGTCTGAAATAATTTAATACATTCATCGACGCTTCTTTTGTGATTATCATGTTATTTATACATTTCTTTAGAACAATTTCCAATAAGCTTAATAATCCTGCAAATATACCTTATGCAATAATGATAGAAAAATGGGAGGAAAATACAGTTTTCTTTTATTTATTTCCATAAAAATATTTAAAATCGACTGTGTAAATGCAAAGGACTCAGTAACAGCCCGAATTGGAAAGTAACGTTCATCTGATCAAAAGAGAGGGTAATAAGCGTATGAGGAACAATTTCATCTCAAGTACCTAACCAAAGACACAATATTGATACAAACTTTAGGGAATTTTAGACCTTCCTTATATGAGGGTAGAGCGGAGCTAAAAGGTCGCGGATCGAAAGTAAAGTTAAAAATTTATTTTATAACAATATTTGAAAGTAGAAGAAAAAAGATATATAACCAGCCATCACCTTGGGGCAATTGGTATAACCATCCATTCTTAGGACGTTGCTACCGGGAGATAAACGGCAATTTTTGTAAATCCATAACAAAAGTACTTTCTTTCGTTATAATTTTTTTGGGTAGTGAGCACTGTTGTTT